CTCTTATCCTCATGGCCAACGCTTCATGGCAAGGATCGTGCATATTCATTTGTGTGTCTTTACATTTGTCACAGTGACATAACAGCTATTCAGTTAAAGCTATAAAACAAAGGGACCTCAGACTGCAGAAGTAAGAATTAGGATGCTTAACATATTTCATTTTTAATCCTAATGGCATCCTTTAAAGATAAGTATTACTAATACTTATCATACATATTCTACAGTTGGAGAATAAAGCTCACAGATGGTAAGTGTCTTGAGCAATTTCACACAAGTATAGTAAACAGGATTAAACCCCAGGTATGGACCTAGGCCCCAAATTAATATTTTTTCACTGTATCACCTGCTTCTTAGGAATCAATAAAAGGACAAGAGGTGTTGTGGCCCAATTAAGCAAGTGGAAATTTAAAGTTTGGATCTTCACAAATCAGGGCTGCCTATGCACTGAGAGTCTAGAATAATAGAAGGAATGTAAAATAATCCAGATGAGAGCTAGTAAAAATGATCTGAATTTTATGATTCTTTATGTCATTGGTATTTGATGCCACTAAGATGTTTTTGCTAATTATGAATAATAATTGCTAGCATTCATTGAACACCTACTGTGCACCACTGTTCTAAGCTTTCCATGGATTTTATTTCATGTCATTTAATCTTCAGAACAGTTCTATCAGATAGATTCCATTATTATCCTCATTTTACAGATGAAGAATCTGATGTTAAGAGAAGTTGGGATAATTAGCCCAGGTCACGCCATTGATGAGTGGTGGAAATTGGATTCAAAGAACTTTCTCTGCTCAGTCTGCTCTTCTAGTTGGAGAAGCAGCCCAGCAAAAAAAACCAGGCATGCTCTTTGAAGATGTGGTGGACCCTAGATAGGTCATCTTAGGTCAAAGATGACCTGGGCTGGACAGATTTAGCCACTCTGCTGTCAAAAGGCTTCCCCATTGCTTTGTCATTCCCTGAAGTATTTATCTTCAGAAGGATCTGTACTTTTATAATCATAAAGCCTTCAAAGAAGCAAGGAGCAAAGTATACAATTGCATAGTTATGAACTCGATCTATTTCCATTTGTACTTAAAAATATGCTGGGAAGTCATTTTTTTTTTTCCTGTGGGTGCATGAAATAAGCAAAAGCCATGCTAGAGAGTGAATTAGATAATCTTATAATGAGGACGGCTCTGTTTAACAAGGGTGCCTCACTTCGCTTAACAGGATCTAATAAGGCAGAGCAGCCGAGTTGCCAGGCTTCCCCTTGTCTGCAGCAATTCTAATATTCTATATAACACCAAATCTCTCTCCTGAGAGCCCTCGGAAGGATGCATGATGGCAGAGCGCTGCTATGACATTCATCTTCATGAGTGAGCTGCTCCATCTCCCCTCACGAGCGGAGATAAATGTCAGAAGAGATCAGCCGTTGTGTGTTACACGGCCACGCCGAGCGCGCGTGCCGCCTCCCTCCCTCTGCCCTTCAGCACCAAAATTGCTTTAGACTAGAGCGCAGAGAGAATTCGAAAAGGTGTAAGGCAGTGTACGTTAGAGGGAGAAGCAGCCCACAGGGAATTAAATAAAGGAGAAACTAAAAGGGTCTTTGCTTACTTTTATGAGACTCATGGAAAAATGAATCTGCACATTCATGTTCCTCCCTCTCGAAGATCATTCTTATTTTCCTGCCTAGTGGTCTTTAAGGTGGAGAGGGACAGTGGGGTGGAAGGGGTAGGAGGTGCTCCAAGGGGAGGGGCAGGATGATCCACTGAACCATGGGAGAAAATATTAGAATTTCTCCTTAAATGCATTATCTAAGTCAGGCGTCCTCAAACTACGGCCCGCGGGCCACATGCGGGTGTTTTTGCCTGTTTGGGTTTTTTACTTCAAAATAAGATACGTGGAGTGTGCATAGGAATTTGTTCATAGTTTTTTTTAAACTATAGTCCGGCCCTCCAATGGTCTGAGGGGACAGTGAACTGGCCCCCTGTTTAAAAAGTTTGAGGACCCCTGATCGAGGTAGTAAGAAAGAAATTGAGCTGGCTGACGTTTACTGTGGGGATTGGCGCAGCTGCCCCAATGCAGTCCACACCGATCTAACGCGATGAGTAATCATACAACAGTCTAGATCACGCAGCAACAATCCCAACCATTCATCTCTGTTGGGTTCCAGGACTGGAGTATGAAAAACATGTTACAGTCTGCATCTACGGTTCTTCCATCTCAGGTAGTGAAGCATCAATTCCTGCGTAGGAAGTCTCCTCAGAGAGAATTGGGAACTGTAAACCCCCTTCCTCTTTCTTTTGCATTTAGCTTCTGGTAAGGTATTTAAGTTTGCAGAAGCTTACATTGGTTGATTTACAGATCATGTTACCTAAATTAAACTAAACCTCCACAAAATAGACAATGAGTTTTTTTAAAAAAAATTCTGGTTAGAAAGCATCAACTGATAACAATATTAAATTACAAGCAAAATAACCAAAATCATTTGATCATTTGAATGGAGGTGGCCTACCCCTTACCTTTAATACTAGATCGTTCTCAAGAATTCTCATTGTGCAAACATAACCTAATGCGATCTGGAAAGTTAACCAGAATTTCTCAAAATTACCTAAAAGACTGTTTACAACTACATTTTTAATGGTGAACTACATGGGTGTAACCTATGGCTCACAGTTCTCCCTGCAATGAGCACCCCGGCCTCCCCTGAAAACATGGCACTTAATCTGGGAATGGAACAGAAAAATAGAAATAGAACTGCTGAGTTTCTAATGACATACTGGAGGCAAGGATATAGGGAGGAAAAGTTCTCCCAAATTAATACACCAGGGAGAACTAAGGCAGGGATAAAGCAAAGAAATCTTACAAGCAGAAAGACTCAAAGATTGGGACGGGTAAATAGGGAGAAAAGATACTGTGTAATCCGAGACATTCTACAACGGGGAGAGGCGTTCTGATTTGTGGGCGAATAGAGATTATACATATCTATCCTGTTGTTAGATCACATTATTGGAAATATGTTAACATAATGTGGTGAATAATTATAAAACAAACTACATTACAATGTAGCAATCTTATCCATTCATCTCTGTTGTATTCATGGCTGGGATATGAAAAATGAATTACATTATACAGTCATGGTTTTCATCTCACCCCTCTGTTGCTCTTTAATCACATAACAATTGTCTTGTTAATGAATCTCAAAGCTATTAACATTGGCTTTCCTTAGGCCAAGGCTGTGTTTTGGAAGTGTGGCTTCTTCCTTCTTTCAGCAGACACATGGCCCCTTGAGCCTTCTCCTTATTCCCCCATTCCAAGAGGAGCACCCTCTGGGGAAAGCTTTCCCACGGGGAAAGGTTGCAAAACATTATGTTTGCCCAATCTCTCACTAAGTTCCAAATCCAAGCTGGCTCTAAGCTGAATCTTTCACATTTATTGAGGGTAACTATTTCCAGAGGAAACTAAAAGTTATTTCGGACACACCAAAATGCAAATTTAGGTTTTCATATTTTTTCCTGCTGTTGTAGAATCTATTGCCTTGAGGTGATTTTTAATCTAAATCTCTCTGAACCATGAAAAAGTCCTAAGAGTCTTGAAATAGGTGGGCCAGAGAGTGATTGTCATTTAGGTGAATGGAAAACCAACAAAGTTGTAATATTTTGCCATTCTTTTAAAGAATCAGAAAATACTATTCAGAGTCACACCCTAATGCATCAAGAATAAAGACTTCCAACTCTTTTACTATACACTGTCTGCCTAGCTCCGTGTTTTGTAGACTTTTGTTATCTCTATGGTGATTTTTGTCTTTGTATCTGATAGAGCAATAAGATTCTTGACCTTTCCTGTCTAGCAAAACTCCCATCCTGTTTTTGTACCTTTTGAGTTGAAGTTACAAGTGTGCCCATCCCCAAGATAGTGCGAATTGTACACGTTAGGTAAAGCAATTTACTTGATCAAAACATTTATTACCCCTGTACACATGTAATATTCAGAAATTTAAAAAAAATTTTAAAAATACACTAGCTATTTAATCATTAATAAAATAATTATTGAGCCACAAAAAGAATTCCTATCCTCATAGTCTCAAAAGCCAAGAGGTATAAGGGTATATATCATCTTTCTTTTTAATAGTGATAACTATCCTAAACTCTAGAATGTCTGGTAATAGATTTATTAGGGACCTTTTGTAATCTCAGAAAGAAATAAGACTTACTTTATAAACAAATATAGCAAGAGTTTGTACTAGCTTATCAGTTATTAAAGGAAACTAGCAATAAACTAATAATTAATTATATATATTCTACCTCTCCTAGCAATTCATATCTTTTTTTTTCTTATGAATTTAAATTTTATTTTCCACCTGAAGAAAATGTGCACACAAGAAATTCCTAGGTCTGGAATCCATTTCTTTCGTCACAATGTATAGATAATTTAAATTTCATTCATTACAACTTTGCAGGAGAAATTGATGAAAGTGGCTACTGACCAAGGATTGAAGATGAATTTTAAAACCCCTCCCTCTTTTATCTTTTGCCAAAAAATCATTTTGCTGTGGAGGAAAAGTTACTTAACTATACTTGTCACACATTCATTCTCCTGAACACTGGAAAACTGAAGCACAGGGTGGATAGGAATCGGACAGGCTATCTCAGACTTTTTGTTCACTACGTCCAACGGAAACAGATAAAGAGCTAAGGCTTGGTGTACTAACCACAGGCTGAGTTTGCAACTTCAAACTCTAACAACAAATATCTAACAAGGTCTAAAAGTTTGAATGTGCTCGAATAAAGGTACACCATCTTTCAGCAAATCAAAAGATATTTGGGGAGGTCTACCATGGGTGCCAACAAACATGCTTATGCCTCCAAAAGGGAAAGAATTTGCCATCAGGACAGAGGGACAAGTATAGCAGACAAGCAGAGACTCCTGATGTTTCTAAGATCAATGTGGAAAGGCAGGAAATTGAGAGGGGACGACAGGGCAGAGAAGAGGAAGGTAACGGCCCTCTCACTGACCTGTAATAACAGACGTCATGGCCTGTCCGTATCCAGGTAGGTCTGCCAAGAAGAGCCTCCTTCACAGAATACAGGGTTGGCTGCATCCCTACGTGAAACAGAAGCAGGAATTAATCCACGAGGGAAAGAGAAAATGGAAAGAGAGTTGCGGTGGGTTGAATAATGGCCCAGCAAGATAAACAGGTCTGAACCCCTGGAAACCGCGAATGCTAACCATACTGGCCCAAGAGACTTTGGAGATGTGACTAAGTTAAGGCTCTTAAAATGAGGACATTATCCTGGAAAGCCCTAAATGCAATCCCAAATGTCGTTACAGCAGGGAGGCAGAGGGAGGTTTTACTCTAGAATAGACACAAGGTGACTGAAGCAGAGAAAAATGTGAAGATGCTATGCTGTTTGCTCTGAAGGTGGAGGAAGGGACCAAAGAATGCAGGGACTGTTGCACTAGATGCTGGAAAAAGAAAGGAAATGTTTGTCCACCGGATTCTCCAGAGGAAACATGGCCAGGGCCAACGCCTTGCCCAGTGAAACTGAGTTTGGACTTCCGGCCCCCAGAACTGTAAGGGAATATATTCACCTTGTTTTAAACTGCCAGGTTTGTGACCATTTGTTACAGCAGCTGTCCAAAGTGAATGCAGAGTCAAGGCTCTTATTTTCTCTTTCTACACCAACAAGAATCTGTTTAGTCACTACCAAATAAAGGCGGTATCCTGTGCTCAGATCTAGACACCTGGGAATATTTATTCCTCATTCAAAGCCACCCAGCAAATTAGTATATAATCCAGCCATAGTACACAGAATTTCCCATTCCTAGAAACATTCCAAATAAATACAGATGGCTAATCAGCCCTTGTCTCTTGAATGTCTCCTCAGAAATGGCAACAGGTGTTCAAGAGAATTTAAACTTTGTCTAAAATTTTCTGAGGGTGTAAATCAGTGTTGTCCAGTTGGGTTTTGCTGTTCTCCCTGTCTTAGGACAAGCAGTCAAAATGTTTGCTTCTGTAGGATTTAGGAGATGGAGAGAAGGAATAAATGAAAGGTCTCACCAACCTCAAAAAGCTCAAGGTTGGGCAAGGGAAGCAGGAAGTAGTGGGATGTTATGTGTTCTGCTCACATTGCATAGCTGGGGGCAGCGGGGAGGTGGCGGGGAGTGGGGTTTACACCAGCCTCCCCTCCATAGCAGCCCTGTGCCACTGGTGGGCCACTGCCTTGCCACGCCCGGCAACCCAAGTGTGCCAGCCCAACTTCAAACCCCCAGGAACTCAAGCAGGGCAGGAAGTCATATCATTGCTGGTATTCTCCAGAAAGCCCCTGTCCCCCTGAGCACATACCATAATTGAATTGGCTGTTGGGCTTCTCACAGTTGATGACATTGAAGTGGTAGGGGACGGCTGAGCGCATTCCGCTCACCTCGAAGTAGAACCACTGCTGGTGCTGGGCGCTGTTCACGTCAGCATTGATCAGCAAGTCGTACTCAAACCTGGGAGTCAGAAGCAACATCGGAGGGTCATCTGGAAAGCCTTTAAGGTAACTTCCAACACTGAGAATCTACGTGTCTCAGGTACTGGGTTATAGCTCTAAGACCCAGGATCTCGTTGGCTGGTAAATTATAGTCATTGTCCTTATCTCTCAATAGTGGGCCCAGGCTTTGGAAATTCATGGGAGTAGGAGAGTTTCTTAGTATTAGAAGGGTCAGCTACACAACTATAGCATATCTTTTCATTAAACTATAGTAAGTTTTGTATCCAGACAGAAAAATTCAAGTGTGCTATATCCCAGAGAAAATTCAGTCACATCTGGTTTGGACCTGCCATTACTATTTGATGCTAGACATTACTTTTGAGCTTCAGTGCCCTCATACGGAAAATGGAAATCATATCTAAACTTACAATGTTGTCTGTAAAAATTAAATAGTATAGTAAATGCAAATCCCTCAGTAGAGCAACAAACACGAATTAGGTTAGCGATGCAAGGGTTGTTTTGTTTTCACTGAGATCTAACTCACATGTGGGAAAGCTCACATTCATGCTCTCCCACTCTGGACCCTTGATATGTGGCACTGTATGGCAAGATTTGTGGAAGGATAGAGCCTGATATAAGACATACGAGAGTAGCTAGCTATGGAGTCTACCCTTCGTGCTGTCACTGTAAGCATCTCCCCTCTAACCACTGAGCTCACTGCACGGTGAATGAAGCATAACCCACGGAGGGTCACTTGTAAGAACAATTTTGCAAAATCTATGACCTTCAAATTATCTGCTATTCCTAGTGCCCTCTCCAAAAAGTGATAATACACATTGCTTACTTACAAGCAGGATTGTTTACTGTCATTTGACTCTGTTACCCTGACCACAATGGACTAGTTTAGGATTCTACACTCTGGTCAAAGGCAGATGTGTAGAGAAAGAGACCTGAGCCAGGCCAGACCTTAGGCACATCCCAGACTGATAACTGTCCCACTAGGAGACTTCTAATCTGATCTTCTCTCCTGGATCCTTCTAACAAGATATCTGGAGAAAAGAAATAATAAAAGCAGAGCGCTTTGAGAGGGAGAGGGCTGTACAAGAACTTTGCCACCAGAATTACTGAAGTAATGCTTATCATTTGAGTTCTTCAATGAAACCAAATGCAAAATGCCATTCACCAGAATGCACTCACCATCGATCTCCTGACCAAGGCCTAGATGGATCATTAGAAGAGAATCTTTGCTATAGAGATTTCTGACATGTAAAAAGATTCCTCACATCTTGGGAAAGGTCAAAGTTACAAACTGACTTTTTTTTTTTGCTATATGATTGCATTTATCTTTTGAATGCTTGACAATGTTGAATGTATTTATTAACTTTATGTCTCTGAATCTCTGTTTTCATGTGCCATATTGCAGTGATCTGAGATGACTTATAAAAACAAAAATGCATATGGCTCTTTCTCTTCATACAGTAATAGTGAGTGTAAAATCTGCTTACTTCACTATTAAACACTGTTCTGTTAACTATCCGGAGTAAATAAAGAACCTTATATAAAAAAAAAAAAAAAGCAGGAGCTATAGGAAGAAGTAGAAGCTGAGCTTACAACAGAAAGAGAAAAAAGCTTAGAAGAGATCTTGACATGATTGTCTTTCTCTTCTTCAGCCCAAGTAACTCAACTTGTCTGTGTTTTATAGGTTGGGCTCCCTTAAAATATTTAATGTACCAAAAAAATATCACCCTACACCACCCCCCAAAAATAAAAAGTTCTAAAATATCTCCTCAGGTAGATATAAATCAGATCTGAGCTATACTGAGTTCTGAGCCCCAGCCATGGTGAATTTGCATCCCTGAGTAAGAACTTACATTGATTGAGTACTCCCAGGTACTACTCTGAGAGCTTTCTGTGCATCGTTTAACTCTCATAGAATCCCTGTCCTCATTTTATAAGTGAGGAAATAAAGGCATGGAGTTAGTTAGGAAAATTGCTCAGTCTTCTGGTTAGGAAGAGGTAAAGTTGTCCTGGCAACGTCTGTGGCCACTACAGCATTAACTGTTTTGGACTGTTATTTCACAAGTTCACCAATAGGAAATGGAGTGTAAGAGGGCTGTCTGGAAAGTACCCAGCCATGGATACAATGGATACATGGAAACAATGGCTGGATAGTTTTCTGACATCCCTCATGTATATTGCCTTTCAGTATATGGGAAATATACCTTGCCTTTTGGTATATGGGAAATATAGTCCACATTGCTATAGTAGACAGAATTATAATGAAGTGAGAACACCAGTCCCTTCTGCCACTGAAAAAATAATTAAAACTCATTTGTGTTTTTTGTTTTATTTCCTTCCTTTTAGTTTGTACAGCTCTAGGTTTCCCTTGCCTATGAAACCCTTTTCTAATAACAGCTCATTTGTAGGTTCTGCTAGAGAGACGGAGTACTGCACGTTCCCTCGAATGAAGGCTCGTCCCCCCCCTCCATGGGGAGCCCGTGATTTTTTGCCACCTAAATTCACAGATGTGGGAGCAACAGATACACAGAGGTGCAGGCTAAACAATGTCACATCCCCTTCCATGTCAACAGATCCAGCTGTGGCATAATCGAAGTGTAAACATAGGTGGCGTAAGGAGTTGCATTGGAATCGCATCCTGGTCAAAGTACTCTCACACCCAAACATGGGCTTGTTATTTGGAACATAAGACATATGCATGGCAGTTCACCTCTCATGAACAGTTCACTCTGCTGTGGTAGCCAGTGATTCCCCTCACGGTGTGCTGGTAAATGTATAATACCTGACTCTCTGACAAGAAAACACTTCATTTGTAGTCTTTGCCAAAATTTTGGTGTGAATACTCCCACCGTGGCTGATTTCAAGCTACCAGTGTGGGATCATTGAACAGAGAATTGGGAAGAGATGGTCACAACCTGCCCTCATGAGCTTCCAGGCACCAGTTCTGTGGCTTTCCTTACTTACTCACGCACTTGGATGGCTTTGCGAAGATTTCCTGACTCGAATTGGGAGAAGAACCTTAAGCAATTAGAAGCCATATCTTGCAAAGCCCTGCAATGAAATGAAGAACTCATGAACATGTGCATCATTGCTATTCTTGAACACCATTTGACATTTCTTAAAGATAAGCTTTTTCTTATAGATCTTTAACCTTACTCTTCATTATGCTATTTTTAGGACTAGGAATGGATTATTATTAGAACATGAAACACTCCTATTCTCTTGTCATTAACAGAATTCTCCAATGACCCCATCCCATCAATGCACCGTACCACCTACCCAGGCTCATCTAAACTGAAGATGACTTTATTTATGACATCACTTGGCTGGATAAGCCTCCGGACATCCTCTAATATCTTGATCCTGAAAAGGAAAATGGAGAACATTTTAAGGCTTGGCCTTCACTCCCCACCTCATTCATCCTATGGTCACCCGGGAAGGACCTTGGGGGTCATCAGAGAAATATGAAAGCAGAGAGAAGTTTAATAACACCCCCAACCTTGAGCTCAAAGAGTGAAAACACCACGGCCCTCCTTCCTTCTCTTCCTCATCGAGAGATAAAACTTCGCTGAGAAGTAGGAATGTAGGAAACAGTGATGTTGGATTTTAGCTAGAGGATTCTTGGGTTGAAGATGAGCTTTGTCAAGACAATTTGGGCTGAGGAACTCTGGAACTTTTCTGGCTATGTGAATAAGGTGGTCCTTTGCACTGAGAGAGTTCTGAGGGAGATTTTAGGACTATCCTGAAGGTATGGGAGGCTCCCATATGCCTTTGTAATCTTGTGTCATTTATTTTCCCCATGCTCTGTCTGTTCCAGAAAGCTAAGGTCAATCTTCTGTCTAAGAAACAGAAATATCTGGCAGATTTAAGTAAGAGGAAAGGAGAAAGCGTAGGGGGTCTTTCAGATTACCTTCTTGAATCTCCAGTCCAGTTCATTGGAGCGGGGTGAGAGAAGGTGGACATGAGACCTGGACTCAGAGGGAAGTTGTTCTATACAGGGGTAAGATGGTGCTAGACCAGCCCCTGTGCTGTGTTTCTCGAAAAAAAACTTGAGCAGGGCAGAAAATGTGCAGGGGTAGGGTCAGTGCTATCAGCCAGGAGCTCAAATGGGAGTAGTTCTTGGGATCCCCCATTAAGAGAACAATTTATTGATTACATGGAAAATAATTTAATGAAGCTTTCTGGTCTGCATACTGCTCCACTGACTTAATATATGTATGCCTTTTTTTCCCCATGGAAAATAATTTTTTCCTCAGTTTTAGCAGTGTTTGTTTTAATCGTATGGTGTTGAGCCAAAGACAAAGCTCCCTTTCCTGCATTCTGGGAATAATCTATCACCCAGTGTTTCTGCCCTGGAGAACGTATCTTTCTGTCTCCTGCTCACTGATGCAGCAAAATTGTTCTCTAAGCCAAGCCAGGGGCTGTAAGTTCAGGGCAGTGGAATGAAGGCACACCCTCTCCTTTTAACAAGAGATCAGATAGCAATTTGCAGGAAATAAGGAAAGAGATCTCAAATAATCAATTCTTGATTTTTCTGGAAACCTCCCTTTGAGGAAAGATCCTGGTATTTTCAGAAACCAGATAATCTTTCCCTGTTGTAGTGGTTTGCAACGTAGGTGGCGTAAGGAGGTGCATTGGAGTCGCATAAGGAATTCCTTATCATGCATGCCTACCACTACCTCTCACTTGATTCTGAAATGACCTCGTAGGAAGGCGAGTCTGCATGTTTGGCACAAGCGTCCCAGCAGGCTTTAACGTGTTCCTGAATAATGCTCATTTTACATAGACGGAAGAGTTATTTGTACAAACCATCCCACCTATAAAAATATTAAAGAGGAGAAAAAATAGAGCTTCCAAGTGAGTAGCACCATCACCTTTGGACTCCACGTTTGCGTTCCAACAAGGACTGGGCAGAGGGAGGTGGACAGTGTCCCCAGATGTCAGGAAATGCCATCGTCTTGAAGTCCACCACAGATCGGGTGCTTCCGGCTTTGGCCACATAAAGGTAAGGATCATGGAAAGGCATGCGCTTTGGGTGTGTCTTCAGAAGCTTATCTATAACTGTGGCTGTTTCTCTGGGCCTCGTGGAGTTGGAGAAGAAGGCACGCAACCTTGAGCAGAAAATCGCATCTAGGTCCTCAGCATCCTCTTTCAGGGAAGCCTGATCGTTAGGGATTTCATTTCCAGAAGAATCTCTGCCAAGACCATTGGACTGTACGTTTTGGTATGGGTTCATTACAGGCCTTTTTCTGGAGGCCAGATGCACAGTGGACCTCCCTATCTTCACTTTGTGCAGAAGGGAAGTCTGGGCTGTCTCTTCGTTTTCCTGCCCCCTGCAGCTTTGGTCTTTACTCAAGCAATGCTGCTTTGAGGAAGCAGCAGTGGGAATGTGGTGATTGGCACACTGAATCTCCCCAAAGTTCACATTATCTCCAAACTGGGACTCCAGTTCCTTCAGGTTTAAAAAGGAAAAGAGCGTGTTAGTGTTTCCTTCCAGGTAGAGAATACAATTTGGTCCCTGTCATTACTCTCTGGGCTCAGAGCTAAGCATTAATCTTGTGAATTCGGAAGTGTTTTCCAAAGTCAAGCAAGAAAGACTGACCTTCAAGAGTCAAATAAATGACAGAATCACAGCAACTCATGTTTGGAAGGGACTTTCAACTCTAAACAGTACGTGAACGTCTTCGTAACACCCACACTGAATTACAACTGGGTCGAACAACTTCATTTATGGGAGCCTCACTGCACCCCAACGTGATGACTTTCATTTGAGGATAATTCTGATTATTTTTTAAAATTCTTACTTACACTGAACTGAAATTCCCTTCCCTGAAACTGTTACTACTGATCCACTTCTGCTTTCTGGAGTGAAACAGAATATATGAACTCCCTTTCTTACACGTGACTTAGCTTACATCCTTAGATGTACCCAAATTCATGACTTATTAAGAGCTGTAAGAAAATAATGGAGATCAAAAAGCAAATCTAAAATACTGATGGCAGCAACAAGAGCAGCAGCAACTAGAATCTGGATTAACATCACTAGGTCTACATTCCCAATTTGTTTCTACTAACAACAACAACAACAAACAGCCTGAAATCAGGACAGCCACCTTCAAAAAACCATCTAAGACAATTTTCTGACTTTGGCATGATAACAATTAAATCATCATGAAGTTTCATTGGTTTTTTCAGTGCCTAGGGGCAGGGCACCTTGCCCACCAGACAATAGGTCATGATGCATACCTTTATTCCACAGTCATGTGTCACTTAACAAAGAAAACCTGAGAAATCTGTCATTAGACAATTTTGCCATTGCACAAACATCATAGAGTGTACTTACATAAACCTAAGTGGTGGCCTCCTACACACCTAGGCTATGTGGTATAGCACAGCCTATTGCTCCTGGGCTACACACCTATACAGCACATTACTTTGATGAATATTGTAGGCAATTATGACACACTGGTGAGTACTTGTGCATCCACATACACCTACATGTAGAAAAAGTACAGTAAGGGTGTGGTATTATAATCATGTGGAACCACCGTCATATATGTGGTCCATTGATGGCCAAAATGTCATTATGAAGCACATGACTATATTTCTATCTGAGATGCAGAACCAAATTGTAGAACCCTTGTGTGTCCCCTAGCTTGGCCCATTTTTTCACATTTTTGCTTAGCATTTCGCTGTTGTCTCTGAAACATCCCAGAAGAAGATTGCTAATGATGAGCAAGGCTTTCCATCTGGGCATCTCTGTTTGGCCTCCCAGGTTCTGCAAAGAACCTGCCATGCATTTCCAAAGAGCAGAACCAAAGCATATGACCTACCTCGAAGCTACAGGAGAGCTCACGGCACATTGCCTCGTATTGCATCAGTTCCTCTTCAGGTCGATCAAGACCAGGTTTGGAACTCAGCTTGTCCACGTCTGTTTCCAAGTCGTCATCCTACATTGGAATATTCATAGGACAGATTACAGGCAGGAAGTCCAACCTGAGAAGCACTGAGACAAGATACAAATGTGTTTCTTCAGAATCTCAGCTTCCTTGCTTCCAAATAAAGAATTTGATATGCAGAATTGTATTTTTAAAATAAAAAGAAAGAAAATGTACAACTTTTCTCAGCATTTATGTCAGTTTTTATCAGCCTCATCAGAAATAAATAATAATTTATATATAATGAGATGAACTATATAAACGATAAAGCACAATATAAAAGAAATTCTCATCACCTACTATCATCAACATCATTGTAATTACTATTTCCATTTATTAGGTCCTTCAGTCTTTTCACAAACATTTAATGAGCACCTACTATGAACAGATGCTCTTCTAGGTACATAAGGTTCAGTAACAATGGAACAGACAAAAGTCCCTGCTCCCATGGAATTTGCTTTCTAGTGAAAGAGGAAAAATAGTAAATAAGAAAGTAAACAAATGAGTAAGGTAATTTCCAACTGTAATAAATGTCCTAGAAATGATGAAAGAGAGTGATGTGATTTGTGCCTGAGTCCAGGGCATAGGATGTTGTTTAGACTGGGATATCTGAGAAGGACCCCTTAGAAGGTAACATTTTAACTGAAACCTAAAGGACAAAAAGAGCCAACTATGCAAAGACCCAACTATGCAAAGACCTGGAAAGGGATTACTAGCAGAAAGATAAAGCTTAAATTTGCTCACCTAATGAAGGTGATGGAAGCATAGAGAACAAGAGGAAGATTGGAGGAGATGAACTTTGAGAAGTAAGTAGGAGAGAAAGTATATCAGTACTTATAGGGCGTGGGGAGGAGCTGGAACTCCCCTGCTATACCTCTACCCCTTTGTACCTTCACGAGTTAACCAAGTCCCCACCAGTCTTCGCTGGGTTGAATAATCCCAGTCACTTTATTTTTTCTTCTAGATAGATCATCATTTCATAATAATTTAATGGTGACAGTGGCTCTCCTCTGAACACTTGTGTGTTTTCAAGGACTATAGGGCTTTATAGAGAAAAGACACCAGGAATCGACCAGTCCAGTGTCTTCATCTTTCCATAACCTAGATTAAGTTTCCCTAATAAAAGAGGGGATGAAAATATACCGTATGTTCTAGAATTGTATTTTGGTTAGTTAAGGAAAAACCTGGAAGTCAGTTTTAAAGACCTAAATCAAATAAATGTGGAAAATGAATGCTTATATTCCAGATTCAGGGAAGAAGAAAATGGGATCTTCCACCCGTCTTTCACAGTTTTCCTCCAAACTTCAAATTAAAAGTAATTCCCGTAAGTTTCATATAAATTACTATTTTGTGCTTCTCTCCCAGTTGGGTTTATTTATGTGTTTAGGTTCTACTCCATGCCACCCCTCCGTGCCCTGCAGAGGGAGAACCCGGCTCCTCCCTCCGGCGCTGTGTGAAGTCAGGTGGTGGCAGGTGGAAGTCACCCGGTCCCTGCCCATCAGATGCTTGTGGTGACTGACACTCTGCATCGGTTATCAACGAGCAAGCAAGAGAGGAGGGGAAGATGGCATTGATGAATGGCTGCAGCAGCTCAGTGATATTCAAATAACTCAGCACGTACTCCACAGGCCCGCGCCACCAAGCCACGGCAAAGAACCAATTTGCTACCGATGACTTCAGAAATGATTCTATTTATCAACAAAACCCAGAGAACACTGACTGTCAATAGCGTCTAAACCTACAGATAGCTAAGAGGCAGTCTTCATATGACTGCCACTACTATCAGCAAGCTGAGTGATTAACTGATGGAGAAATCAAGTTTCTTTCTCTCTAAGCAGAGAAGGAAGGAAGGAAGGAAGGAGGAAGGAAGGAAGGAAGGAAGGAAGGAAGGAAGGAAGGAAGGAAGGAAGGAAGGAAGGAAGATAGAAATTTTAAATTTAAATTTTATCCCCAAGAATGTCATAAAAAGTAATATTTACTTTTGGGTCTTATTTACAAATGACAAAATTAAGAAACTATAACTTGAATGAACTTGTCCAAGTCCATGTCCACCAACAGAAATGGAGACAGAATTACAACTCATAGACAAATTATTATTCTAGAACAGTGGATCTCAACTAGGAACAATTTTGGCGATTTCTAGAGACATTTTTGGTTCATGCCTAGGGGGCAAAGGGGAGGGTGCTACTGATATCTAGTGGGTAGAGGACAGGGACGCTGCTAAACATCCTACAACCCACAGGACAGCTGCCCACAACCAAGCACTCTCCAGTCTAAATGCCGATAGCTCCAAGGTTTCTAAATCTTGTTGTAGAAAAGCAATCAGTAAACCATGTCTCACTGCTTGCTTTTGTACATAAAGTTTTACTGAAACGCAGTCATGGCTGTTTGTTTATGTGTTGTCTATGGCTGCTTTTGTGCTACCACAGTGAAGTTGAGTAGTTATGATGAAGACTTTATGGTCCACAAAGCTTGAAATAATTACTATCTGAGTTTCCATAGAAAGTTTGTTGACCTATGTTCTACAGGATAGGCCATTACAGGATAGGGACCAAGGAGCATGACTTCCCTGCTGGCCAGGTTGTGCACCAAGCAACATAAGGGAGCACAATTCACACAGACTCTGGAGTAAATGGAGTCGTGCAATGCAGCAGCCCTGTGCAGAGTGGGTCGGTAAGAAGAGTGATTTATGAAGATAGGTGAGGTCTACTAGAAAGTTTCCTGAAAAATCTTTCTACGGTGTCGCATGCACTTATTAAATGTACCAACCCTAAGCATTCAGTGTCTACCTAAGGCTCATCCTGATGGAGTATTAGTGTCTTAATAGCGTTTAGCTTCTGACTTTACAGTGAGACATTGTACCAGACATACCAAGAGGAAAACGGCAACTTGGAAACCAATACAGCAGCTGTCATTTACTGAGCGTCACTGTCACTGGATGGCAGTATTCAAGTAAGTCCTTAAAATTTACACTGGGCTTAAGGAAACATAGGAAGTGACATTTTTCTTTGCACGAAGTGAGTGTGGAGATCGTCAGAAGCAAGGGCTCGTGTACCTACTTCTTCCTTCACGTCTTCAGAGCTTGAGCCTCTGTCCACGTCTTCGTCACCGTCATCCTCAAAATCCTCTGATGGAGAGAAAGAGGTGAAATAAGTGAGGCTTCCCCTTTGCACGGGATTTAGACTCACACCACACAGTGATCAGTTTTTCTTCCCCTCACAAATAAGGGTCCCATTATTACACCCATAGTATCACAACACACGCTAACGCTCATTGATGCATATGAATGGCATGTGCATGAACATGCAGGAGCACCATGTCATGACGTCTCAACAGGCGTCCCTCACTGAACACAAAGGGAATGCAGAATGAGATGACACACGAATACCATTCTGGATTCTCCCACTCAAGTTAGAGGTGATTATGCAACTAACATCGCTAAAGTTTAGAGATCGCCTACAAACGAAGCTTGTTATAACTTAGATGTCACCTTAACTGAGTCCCCAGTTTTTAGATTAAGTTACTTAAAAGTCCACAGAAAGCATCCAGTGCCACTGTGGCGAAATCAGGCCTATAGAAAATCTATTCCATGGTAGGAAGGCAGGGCTGAAAAGCACCAGAATTATTGAACAGTAAGATCTTCCTGGAGATTAAATAATCATACTTTCAAATATTCCAATATGACTAGCCTGGGTTGTAAATAGCAAGAGTTTTATTTCAACTTCATCCCTAGACAAATTAATTCCACAATCAGTCAGTACAGTGGAGAGACTTGATCATGGGATTGTGAATAGAATATATTTTGTTAATTAGCTGAGATGACTGTACAGGTAATTGATAGCTACCAGGCAAAGTGGCCACAGTTAGTAATTAAGAACAAAATAAGTGAGCTTGGCATTTGTTCACCTTATTTATGAAAAAACTGTTTTTTCATATATACCTCTTGTTAGCTTTTTAGACGATCACATTTGACCTGTAAAACAACTAATTCTATTTTTATACATGTTCCTCGGAAATAGCGGCAAAATACAAACACTCATCTTAACCCTTTGCACTCGGATGTCGAGTGTGGATAATGTCGAGTGGATAGTGAGAAAAAAACCAAGCGAGTGCAAAGGGTTAAAGATCATAGTTACCCACTTATTTTACCTTCTGTTAGAACACATGGAGGTTCAGAGGTGATGCTCCCAGGGACCGGGAAGGCGTAAGCACTGCTGGCTGTGACCAGAGGAAGGGGACTCTTAGGGTAGCATAGCCTCAGGATCTGAAGCGCCTCGGAGATGATGGGCTCCACGCTCTTGTCATCCAAGCAGTCCTGAGTAAAGGGGAGATGGCATCGGACACTGACGTCTAGGTACAGTCTCCTTGCTGTCACTCGATGTCAAATAATGAATTATACACAGCCTAAATAGACGGTAAACAGCCTTAATGTAGAATGTCGAATCTGAACATTCTAATGCAGAATTTTGTCCAATGTACGATCTGCATTTTTATTTCTCTTGCACAGTTCATATGTTATTGGAGTGCATTTAGGCTGAATGCAGACTTAAAGCTCTTTCAAGGGATGCTGCCTGAGGCAAGACGTTGTCCAGGGTAGCTGGGGGGAGAGGAGGAGAGAATCTCTTTCCAGCCATCCATGTGCCGTTGTGAATCACTGCCTGAGTCAGGGAATGAGTAGCTGAATTGGGGGGAGTCTTGCTTTTCTCTTTCAGCTGTCTTATAAAGAGAAAAATATAAAAGAAAAAGATAAAATAGGAACTCGGAAGAAAAGATTAAGTGAATCGCAAGGACCTAAATTAAATAACATGCCTCTTCTCAAAGCCCAGTGTGTTGATCCCTCTTGGTACCTTCCCAAAGCAAAGAAAAATTGGGTTTGCAGATGTAACATTTTGATGCTGATGGAACATGACAATACCCTTCTTTTCAGACACTGTGAAAAATGTAAGAACAAGTTCCCTAAATTGACAGAGTTGGATACAGTTCAATATCTCTGGCAAAAACACAACCATTTTCTTCAGTATCTCAGTAAATGTTTTATCTACTGACTTGGTACAAAAAGTTGACTAACATGAACCTCCAGTTTGAAATTCCTACAGGGTACAGCGAGCTCTGAGGCCGCCAAGGTGTAGACGTAGACACGGCGGATGGCAAGTGCCCACAGCGGGGTGGTGTGAATGCCTGTGAGGCCGCCACGGTTCGGCATCTCCAGGCCCACACTGCAAGTGGCTCCACATGAAAGAACATCGAGAAAAACAAATTTTAATAAAACTTGGGCCACGACTCCAAGCTACCGAAACGACTCCAAAATAGAAGTCATCCAACTTTCAAAACAGAAATGTCTTAATACAATCAAGAATGGCCTCTCCTTTCCTGGGCGCTCGGATGGTACCAAGAAGATGTCCCCAATCAACAGCCTCTGCACACACAGCAATAAACACTCTCAGTGGAAAATGAATTAACTGAGGCTGTTTCATTCCTTGGCCCGGTCAAATGGCCTCACGTGTTTAGTGAAAAGTGTTGGTATTGGAAAAAATAAATAATTAAAACCGTGTGGAAGAAAAAGAGAAAAAGTGAGGTAGATGGCTTGATCAGAGATAATATTCTAAGTGCCAATCTTGGGAGAAACAGCCAAGTCCAGGCCAGGGAACTCAGTCAAAAATTCCAACATCCAGGTACGTCTGTGATTATCTTTGATGATGATAGAGATGATCCTGTTTTTCACCTTGGTGGGCTGGTACAGGTAAAAAGTGTGTGAGTAGCAGGGTGGAGCTAAGTCTAAGTGTTCTGAAAGGCTGAGCCACACCATGAACTGAATTTGGGGGATGGAAAGGGGAAGAAAATCTACAGATACCAAGGCACTCGGGATAATGCTGTATATAGTGTCTGCCACACTCTGGGGAAAATTTCTATGAATTTAAAGATGATCCCTGGTTCCGAGATAATAGAAATTCTTAGATCCATTTGTCAACATTTCCCTCGTGCTAATAGATAGATTCTGTGCAAGGCTGGGACTAAAGTGAGGTAAATGAGGTGCCCAGGAGGCAACATTTAAGGAGGCGCTCACTCTCAGTCTCCTGCAAGTGCAGGGCTGGCATTTTGTGCTGCACATCATAAAATGACAAGACTCCAAGAAATAGGATCCCTGTGGACAAATGTCTCAGAATTAGGGGCAAAGGTGAGATTTTCTTTAGGCTCCCTTTTCCCATCATTCCCAATAATACACCTGCTACTTGGAAGGGATGATGAAATAGGAGAGCTCTTAGAACACTCAATGCTTTGTCGCAGTTGACATCTTTGAATTAGCTTCGGAATAATATTAATAAATAGCTCACTTCCACAGACAAGGTAGAGCAGTAGCAAAGTGGTCAGGTCCTGGAGCCAGATGACCTAAATTCAAACCCTGGGCTGACGATTCCTCACTGCATAACCCTGGCAAGCTGTGACACAGTTTCCCCATCTGTAACGTGGAGGTAATGACAGAACCTCTCTCGTAAGTTTGTGTGTGAATTAAATGTGCTAAAGTGGGCAAAGCGCCCAATAGTAAGCAGTCGGGGTTAGCTAGTGGGATGTCAGAGGCATCATTAGGTTCATAAAATATCATAAGAATCTGCAAGCAGATCCTAAAAGTCGCTGTTAATCAGAGAAGAGCCCAGTAATAATCCTTGAGATGACAAAGTGAAACATTTTACTGGAAAAGGATCCCAACTAAGAATCTAAAGTCCCAGCTCTGCTTCTAACTAGCCAAAGCCGTCAGCATCTCCCACCTGAACTCCCACAGACAGTGAGCTCCTCCCCTAACTCTCCCTCCTCCCACCTCCCCATGCCCTCTGACAGTCTCCTCTCCAAATGGCAGCCAGAAGGGTCCTTTAAATGCATCACTTTAATGGGTACAGAGTTTCAGTTTTTCAAGATGAAATGAGTTCTGGAGAGTGGTGGGTGGTGGTGGCGTTTGTACAGCAACATACTTAACACCACTGCACTGTACACTTTAAAACGGTTAAGATGGTGAATTCTGTTATATGTATTTTACTACAATGAATTTAAAATTTTTCAAAGATAAATAAAAAAATGAAAAGCATAAATTATATCAAGGTGCTCCCCTGCTTCAAACCTGATAGAAATAAAATCCTGATGGAGAGCTCTATATGATCTGGCCCTCCCTATCTCTCTAATTCATGCCTTCCCACCCTTTTCATGCCTGCTTCAAATCTCATGGAAATCAAACCCAAATTTCGTATCATGGTTCGAGAATCTCTAAATGCTCCATCCTTGCCTATGTCTCCGACTTCATCTCACACCAGCCCTCCCTTGCCCACCACGCTCTGCCACGCCGGCTTCTCTGTTTCTCAAGCTCACCCCACCTACCCCGGTACCTCTGTACCTGTGGGCCTTTGCATTTGCTTTTTTTCTCTCTCCCTGGAACCCTCATATCCAGACCTTCCTGTCACTGGTTCTTTCCCCTCATTGAGGTCTCAGGTCGAAGAGCAACTCCTCCACCCCAGCCTAGTGTAGCCCATGTTTTCCCTTCTCTTTCTCCAGCCACTCTTTGAACACAGATGGGCAAATTCTAAGGCCCGGGGCAGATGCAACATAGCCTCAATTTAGGAATGTGTCTTGCGTGGAAAAGCCCTCAGTTTGGGACCTTCCGGTTTATTCTCACCTGGTCTTTCCTTCTGCCTGACTTTCCGAATTATCTTAGTTGCCCCACTAGTTCTACACTGCTTCTCTCTCTGCGTGTACATCATGCCACCTCCTTCTTCTTCCCTGAACAGTGCAAACACCAAGCGTTTCTCTCGGGCTTTCCAAGATGTTGCCCGAGCCTGACTCAGATGCTGCGACTGCCTCCTCCTAGGAGCTTTCTCTGGCCAGCCATGACCCAGCCGGGTGCTCCTTGCTCTGCGTGGCTTCGCCGATGGCGCTGTTATGACACGTCCCACTCGCTGCCTGCACTGCCATTACCCGTCTCCTACCCGCCCCTGGAGCACGTAACTTTCCTGAGAAGGATGGGCCTCTATCATCTTCATCTTTGAAGTCCCCACATAACCTAACCCCAAAGGTGATGACCTTTCGCAGAGCAGGAGCTCAGAGAGTATTCATGGAATAAACAAAATGATCTCAGACCAATCTGACCTCCAGGGTATCTAAGTCCCAATTCCAACTTGGAAACATTCCCTTTAGGATTCAGTCCTGCATTCCTCAGATGCACAATGCTGCGGTCATTATCCCCGTTAGACAGAGGATCCTGATGACTCGAGGCTTGGCCTGACACTCTTTCTGAGCAAATGGTGATAGCTGTGAATTTTGAAAGGCTGCATCATTGCTTATCCTAGTGGTTCTCAAAGTGAGCTGCCCAGACCAGTAGCATCAGCATCACCTCAGAACTTGTTAGAAATGCAGTCTTGCACCTCCCCTCAGATCAACTGAATTAGAAACTGTAGGGGAAGAGTCTAGCAATCGGTGTTTTATCACACTATCTAGGCAATGTTGATGCATGCTAAGTTTGAAAACTGCCAGTTTTAGCAACTTTTTAGGTTGTTTAAGCTGTTGCAGCCCCAAAGAGTAGTCCTTTCATCTGATTATTTTATACAGGTTTGACCTTCTGTAATTAACGATTTCTCTACATTAATGACTATCTCGTACTGTTTCAGGGGATCCTTACATGAGTTCTTGTTTTTAAACCTTTCATTCAAATTGTGATCCTTCTTCTTCCTTCCTCCTCCGAAGCTTGCAGGAGACTGCATGACACTCTGCAGCCTCCCTGCATTGTGGGCAATCTCAGCTTCTGACCCTTAGGGCATGTTTACAGGGTCTGTGCAGGAATGAGTGACCCAGGAAACAAAGAGGCAGCGTCACCAAGAGGGAGACAATGCAAGCAGTGGCCTCCACAGAAAGACAAAACAGAACAACAGGATGGGCAAAGGCTGCGGGAAGGACTTGAAACAGTTATTTCTCCATCGATCTCATGCCCAGTAAGTTTGTAATTCCATCATAAATACCAGTAAAAATAGTGTAAGACAGTAGTTTTCAAAGTATTGATTCCCCGACCTGCAGTATCAGCATCACTTAGGAACTTGTCAGAAAAACAAGTTCTCAGGCTCCACCCCAGACCTACAGAATCAGAAACTCTGAGAGCAGGGTCTGGCGAGCTCTGTTTTAAGTGGGCCCTCCAGGTGACTCTGACACGTGCTCAACTCAAAGAACCGCTGGTGCAGCGGGCAACAGCGCGGACTCTCACGTGGGACTGACCGCCAGCTTCAAACCCTGGCTCCAACACCGACCAGCTTTGTGAACCCGGGGAATCACTTCACATTTTTGTGCCTTGGTTTCTTCATCTGTAAAATGAAGATAATGATAGGCCTACCTCAAAAGCTTTTTAAAATGCCAAAATTGGAGAGTCTGTGCTAAGCCAGTTAGAGTTCAATACAAAGTAACTTTCTTCTTCTTCTTCTTCTTCTTCTTCTTCTTCTTCTTCTTCTTCTTCTTCTTCTTCTCCTTTTCTTTCCTCTTCCTCCTCCTCCTCTTCCTCCTCCTCTTCCTCCTCCTCTTCTTTTTCCTCCTCCTCCTCATCATCATCCTCATCCTCTTCCTCTTCTTCTCTTCCTTTTCCTGCAGCAGAGCGGCGCAGCACAACTTGCAAAGTAGCAACTGAAATAACATCCCCAAATCCAAGGTTCCTGCAACATCCATCCAGTGAGTCCCATGCCTCCTCCAGCCGGGAAGGGAGGGGTGACAGGCAGCTTGAACTCCAGCACAGCTGCAAGGGCATCATCTGTGCTCACAGCCCCCAGCCCAGGGCTGGGAGGCTACTCAACGCTGGCTACCATTCTGCCAGGGCAGAGTAATGGGCCATTTGATTTCTAAGCCAGACCAGCATATCTTTCACCTGAAAGGATCATTTTCCAAAAACATGAGAATGTCAAATGTCAGACTCTGCATGTAAACTTAAATAACATCTCTGGGAGAACACACTTTAAAAGACCGAAAGCAAAAGGCAAGGTGTGGGTTGGAGGGAGGAATGCAACCCCTTGAAGTTGTCCTCCATACGTTCCGCACACTCTTCCAGCCCTGGCGTCTCATGGCCTATTCGCTCAGCGCTGTCCCGCAGCCCCTCCTGAGCTTCTTTTTCATGTAGTCCCAATACAGATTATAACACAGGCTGGAGAAACAGTGACAAAGTGCAGATTCTGCCTCCACTTACACTCTGCTTCCATTCCCAACAGTAATTGGAGGCTCAGAGCTTTTAGTTAAATTGCTTAATTGAGCAGTTGAGTTCTTCACTGACCTGCTGAGGAACCGCTTCTAAGAGCCTGTGCCTAGGCTTGCAGCTGCTCGTCTGCCTGAACGTCACTCGCTGTTTTCTCCACCATCTTCCTATCGTAGCCGTGTCCCGCCGTGATCACCATCTTCTTCCTTTATTAATCTTTCATTTTGTATTTTTTTTTAGCACAGGACAGAGAAACGGCCAATAACACAGAGCACAGAGGAACTGGGTGCAGTATACAGGTGGTAATCGAGGTCATCAGCAATGCAGGAGGACATGTCACAAGGGCTGAGAGAGATTTCGGGGACCACAAGCTTACAAAGCATGGGGAGGTTTGGAAAAATTCAAAATTTGGGAAAATTCAAAGAAATAGAATGTGAAATATAGCTATTTCATGACAGAGAAGCTTTGAAAGCTGTAATGATGGCGAGAAACCCAGAGGTGATATCAGATAGAAAATTAGATACTAGTTTGCAGCACAGTATTTTGTTATTGTTTAGGGAGGGGAAAGCCATTTTTTAAATGAGAAAAGTCTGTATCTGTAGATACCATGGTTGGAAAACAACACTCTCATTGGCTGCTCATTACCTGGGATGTACTCAACTAGAGAAAGATTGGAGGGTGTCCAGAGAGGAGCAATGAGGCTGATGAAGGAGTGCAGGACCAGCAGAGGAAGATGACAGGAAGATAATGCATGAGAATCACAGCTGCCTTGGCCCCAGGAGAAGATGGGGAGCAGATGAAAGATATTTGGAATACTCATATCACCAATAGAGAGGGTATATGTATCTTCAAACTATGGTGTTTCCATTAGCCTTAAGCAAGTGAAATTAAGGAATGTGCTCCTTGGGTTGGGGAGACCCTAGACCACATACACCACTGGGGTGCAGATAAGTAGCAACCCTTGGAGGCATTATTCACTCTGCTTGGGATGTTCTTGCCCTTAAACTCAGCAAGGCCAGCTCCTCCAATAATTCCCGTCTCAGCTCCGGTGTCACTTGTTCAGAGAGGATTTGACCTCTCTAAAAGAACACCTTCTCCCTCTGCCCGTGGCAGTCACTGTAGACCTGTGCCCTTGCTTTGCTGACTTCACAGAGAAATATGGAATTATCTTCCTCACTGGATTCTTTGTTTGCTTAATGTCTGACTCTCCTGCTAGTATGTTTGCCCCGTAAGATCAATATGTCCTGCCTGTCATATTGGCCACTGGATTCCCAGAGCTAATTATTCCAATAACTACTCATACTCCAAGTGCAGTTAAATTATGGCAGGCACTCTTCTAAGCACATGACATTTTTACATTAACTTACTTTGTCCACACAACAACCTAGATGTTACAGTTTCCACTTCATTTTTGAAAAAGACACTTGAGGCTTGGTGACTTCTCCAAAGTTTCACAGCTGTAGGGGCTCAAGCTGGGATTTGAACCCAGCTACTCTAGCAGGTGTCAATACTCCTTTTTTGTATTTTTTTTTTTTTGAGACAGGGTCTTGCTCTGTTGCCCAGGCTGGAATACAGGGCATCATCATAGCTCACTGTAACCTCAGACTCCTGGGCTCAAGTGGTCCTCCCACCTCAGTCTTCCAAAGTGTGAGCCAACCCAAATCAACACTCTTAGCTGCTACACCACACTGTACCTCTGATAATGTGTACTCAATAAATATGTATGGAATAAATGGATGAATCGATGCATGAGGGAATGAATGAATGAGGATTTGAATCCAGAACATCTGCCCATAGTGGGCAGCAAGAAATATATGGAGGTTTCTCAGCTGTTTGGGACGATTCTGGAATCACCCAGACGTTATCCAACTACCTGTGCAGTGGTGAAGAGGATCTCCATGCCCTGGGCTGCCAGGAAGGCCTCCCTGCCCGAGCGGAGGGTGACAATGTGCTTGAGGCAGAGCAGGAAGCCCCGGCGGATGGGAACGTAGGTGCTGGCTGTGTCATGACTGTGCCAGTCCTGATGCAGCCTGAGCAAGCTGGCCACGTAGCCCCTGTTCACCGCCCTGCGGCTGTTAGACTCTGAAAACAAAGGGAAAAGGCAACGTCAATCACAGGCTCTCCAGGCCCGCACCTGCTCAACAATGTCCCAGTGCACCTCTCACAAGATGCTTATTAATTATAAAGGGAACAATAATAACTTTTCAGCGTAGAAAACTGATGTATGTATGTCGCCTTAGCCAAGTGATCAAAGTCAACATCACCGGTAATGGGACTGACAGTCATGACGTGCCCCTCACAGGATGCTCTGAGAAAGACACGCCTTCACTTCTACGGTACTCCTGCCAAAAGTGCACAACCTGGATTCGATCATCAGCAAATCCAAAATGGATTTGCTGGACAAAATTGCAGGACAATCAGCAAATCCAAAATGAGGAACATGCTACAAAACCTATACTCTTCAAAAATGTCAAGGTCATGAAACCCCAAAAAAAAAAAAAAATTCACCGAAGAATCGAGTCTCAAGGAGACATGGCAGCTCAGTGCAATGTGTAATTATAATGCTAATTTAGATCACAGGCCAGAGAACAATTTTTTTTCTTTTGCTATTAATGGCATTAGTGGGGCAATTGGTCAAGTTTGAATAAGGTCTGTAGATTAGCTAATAGTTTTGTATCAGTGTTTATTTTCAGATTTTGATAAACTGTGGTTATATAAGAGAATATCTTTGTCTTTAGGAAATTCACAATTGGAGTATGTGAAAGTGTATAACTTAGTCTCAGAAAAAAAATAATAATAATGTAGGGGGAGGGGAAGACAGAGAGAGAGAGAGAAAGATTGATTTTCATCAGATTTCCACTCTTCCTTCCTGAATCTCAGTGGACTAGGATATTGTCATTTGGATTAAGCAAACTGTGAGGTTAGGTGGGGAAGGAGAAAACTCTGAGTGGCATATAATACCTGAAAAGCTGTCATGTATAAGAGATGCATTGGGCATTCTTCCTAAAGAGAACGGAATCTAGTTTGTGGTTAATCAAGGTGTCATAAATTTGTTTAATATAGTTGTTGTCTCAGCATCCCTTTTTAGTCCTGACTTAAGTTGCTTGAAACCCAGTTGTACCCCATCACCTGTGACGGAATGGAAACCTGCCCTCCCCACGTGGTTGATTGAGCCATGGCCCACCTGTTCACCCTCCCACTGACCCAAAACACACACATCACACACCGGCTGGAACCTAATGGCCAGCATCAGAGTCACATGAATAAGATGTGTTCTTCATGCACGTTTTCTTTAAACCACCCAATCCACAACCCTGGCAGGAAAGCCTGAGGGGTAAACTCGGTGGGCCTTAATAAAGGCTGAGTCCCGCAGGTGCTCTCTCTCCCCAACCTGGGGTTGAGCTCCCTGCTGCCGCCAGACCCCCCATTGGCTCCTGTGGGCACCCCTCTTATTCTCGAGGGTCTGCAACTGATAAAATGCTCCTGTGCCTTGCTGAGCAGCCTCCCCCCGTCTCACCTGATCAACACACTTGAGCATGGCTTCACCCAGGGCCAGGGCTCTCCTACAGAGTGGCTGTCTTGTCTCATGGCCACTCTCAGGAGGGAGAGAACACAAGACCAAGTGAGACAGAGACCACAACACAAGGCTTTGGCTCAGCTTGGGAAAGGAATTCCTCAGCGTCAAGGCTGTTTAACAAGTGGGTGGACTGTATGTGGTAGTGAGCAACGGGGCACGGAAAATTCCCAGGCAAATTCTGGACGTCCGCCCAGCAGGGATGCAGACTGGGCTTTCTCACATCCGATAGGAGTTGTAACAGAGCGCGTTAGGGTTTCCTTCCCCTCAGCAAGATTTCTCTGTGCTTGTTCAATCTTCCTGGCTGAGGCTTCCCATAAGACCTTATCTTATAAATCTAATTTTCTCAATGATTAAATTCTCTTTGAAGAAACACAGGGGGCCTGGCCGGGCATGGTGGCTCATGCCTGTAATCCTAGCACTCCGGGAGGCCAAGGTGGGTGGATTTCTTGAGCTCAGGAGTTAGGGACCAGCCTGAGCAAGAGTCGGACCCATCTCTGCTAAAAATAAAAAAATAAAAAAAATTAGCCTGGTGTGGTGACTCACACCTGTAGTTCCAGCTGTTGGGGAGGCTGAGGCAAGAGGACCACTTGAGCCCAGGAGTTGAAGCTACAGTGAGCTGTGATGATGCCACTGCACTCTACACAGGGCAACAGAATAAGACTTCGTCTTGAAAAAAGAAAGAAAAAAAGAAACACAGTGGGAAGAATAGTCCAAGATACCTCTCTCAACAGTTAATATGTGCCAACTTTCAGATTGAACTCCTTGGGCTGCAGGGTTGGTGGACAAATGTGGACCAAGTCAGACCTACCCAGTGACACTGAGTCATCTCAGCCCAGTGGACTAGGTGCTTCACAGGGCTCTAACGGGCTGGCTCTCGTCCACAAACACCCACATCTTGCATCTCTGCTCTCTCACTACCGCATTTTTCCATTATCCCAACCATTCACACTGGTTCGTGAGATAACACGTGCTTCTGGTCGCGGGAGAACCCCTGAGCTGCAATCACATAATCCAAATTTCAAGTCAAAGTCAGATTTTTCCCTAAAACCACGTAAGTGCATATGAGTGCAAAAAATAACATGGAAATTCAATGCCTTATTCCAGAGGGGTTTTCTCATAATATTAATGAAACTCTTTCTTTCCTCTTGCTTATTTGTCAAATTCTAAATTGTCAGGCTTGACTAAGCCCCACTGAGATTTTTGGCCCATTTGTGCTGTTGGTTTTATTTTTTTTTCACAATGTTTCATTCAGCCATGACCCTGAACTGAGAGCAATGAGCTTTATTCATCCAGTGATATGTTTGTGGAGGGTTTAAATAGCCTTCATTACCTCCTTTAATGAATTATTCTTTTGTATCAAAAATATTTCTCTCCTTGGCAGGTCTTGGCCACAAAGCACTAGAGTTCTTTACTGCTTACCCAAGGTTCCAGCCTATCCAATATCTGATGTTTAGAAGAAAATTGAGGATTAAGTAGGAGATATTAAAGGACAATATCGCCTGCTAAAAAAGATACAAGAATGGCAAGCACAGCACACAGGCGCCGGTGGGCAGCCCAGGCTTAAGGACTTTGGTTGTTTATCAGTTCTAAGAGCATTAGAGTGATAATGTGTTATCCTAATGACCTTCAGCCATTACTCTTCTTGGTGGGAGGGGGGCGGGGAGGGGGTATAATGAAGAAAATCTTTAATTGTCTGAGAGAAAAATCCCTTATCAAATCCCAATGATTTTATTCATGATTTCCTGTTAATCCCCAACAAGCTGTCATGTTTACTAACATTTAAAATAGCTCAACCTCCTTCCCCCCCGACCCTGCACACGTCAATCGTTCTCTGAGAATGGCTTGGGAAGTTTTGCAAAAGTCAATACGTATCTCAGACCCTACGAGAGGAGATTCATCAAGCAGATGTAGGGCAGAGCCGGGACTGGAAGGAGGGTCACTGGGATCAGAGCCGAGAGGGGTTCCAGGAGAGACTCGGGAGGAAAAACACCGCTTCTCGGAGTGAGGGCAGACCATGAGGAGGAATGTGGGTTTTCAGATACTTCCCTGGAAGAGCTCGGAGTCTGGGGGTGGGAGGGGGCTCCAGGTGCCCCCCCCTCTTCAGAATAGACCAGCTCTGCTTCCCTCTGTTTACATAAACAGCTTGCTCCTAAGATTTTCTTGGAGAATAAAAAAAAAAATTCTGCTGCTTCATTTTTAAATAAATTTTCTAACTAGATTATTATCTTTTGAACCAGTCGGAAGATGTGGATGGAAGGGGCAGAGAGGAGGTCTCAGGGTCTCTAATTTCAACACCTCACCCATCCCCCCAAGGCATCCTCCTGCTTTCACGGAACTCCTTGCTTCACCCTCGAGTGGCCGGTTTTCCTTTGGCAAATCCATGAACTACAGGGAATTTACCTCTGCCCTCATCTCCAATTCACCCTCTTACATCTACTATTTCCACTTACCTCTCCGGGTTATACCCACCCAGGGCCTTACGCATCGTGAATTCTCAGTGTGAAATGTGATCTAGTGATATCATTACTTTTACCCTGATTATTTCTTAAATGAGGTTCAAGTGTTTTCCTTTAGTGCATGCCCCATCCCTGCAGATTTTTATACAGGTAAAAAGAAAGTAAGACCAGAAGGGAATATGTCAAAATGCCAATAGTATTTAAGGGAGGGGGAGGTTAAAGGAGGGCAGTATTAATGATTCTATTTGCATATTTTGAGTTTTCTGTAGTTTTTATTTCTAATCAGGGATAGGGAATCTGCAGCCTCGGGGCCACATGTGGCCTTCTGCATCCTTGAATGCGGCCTTTTGACTGAATCCAAATTTTAGACAGAACAAATCCTGATTTGCTCTGGGAAGTTCGGATTCAGTCAAGAGGCCGCACTTGGGGTTCTGGGGGGCTGCATGTGGCCTTGAGGATGCAGGTTCCCCACCCCTGCATGGTATTCTACAATAAACTTTGATAATCAGAAAGGAAATATAATCCTTTGACTGGAGTCACAAACTTGTGATCCATGGACTATTGGCCATGCCACGTTGTCAGTGCTTATGTCTATAGGGCAAGCAGTTCACAGGTTGCCATAGTAACCCGCTCATCTTTTAATCTAACCCCATCCCCTCCAAATGTCAATCACCTTCCTACACCCTGAAGGCACTGGAGATCATCACCATCTTAATAAAGATGTTTGTCTTCTACACAGGAAAGCCTGGAAACATTCAAGACTCAATGAGTTGAATTTCTCCTGGGGAATGCAGGGTCCCGTGAGAGGCTGGGGGGAACATGCTTAGTGTCCCGGAGTATCATACCTGCAAGCAGCCCACTACTCTGATCTTCTTTCGGCAGCACTAAAGAAGTTGTCATCACTGCTCTTTATTTCCCATATCTGAAAATTGCATCACCCCTTTTTATGATAAACTGATAACCTTAAGCAGAAGAAATGAAGGAATCTGCAGCAAAGTAAAGGATCCGACACTTGAACATCCACAGCTCTGGGAATGAGATATACAAAT